AAATATATTATCAAAAGAAGACACATTTAATTTAAAGGCACATTATGCCTCAGATATGATTAAAGATCAACGTTAAAATAATAAGTTTTAGAGGAAGTTTGATGCTCCTTACCTGAGGAAAATAGTGCTAAATGTAAAAGTTATATGTAATAACAGTAGCAAAATATAAACAAAATAGAATATTGACTTCCATACATAATACTTATTCACTATAACTGTTTTTAATGCCAACGAGCAACATATAAAAAAATGATCAAGGTGATAGGCCAATGTGTAATTTTTAGAATATTAAAAAATATACAAAAAATAAAACTCTTTTAAGAAATAAATGAAAAGCATTTATGAGGCATAATGGCATTTAATCAAAAGCACATGTAAAGCACAGAAGACTTCAAAGATTCATAATATTTTTGATAATAATTGTCATTTATTATTCAAAATATGCATTTTAAATGCATAAAGCAACTTTGGTAGTTTAGAAAAAGAACATTTGTCGAAATGAGACGAAGAGTTACTATTTCTCATAAATGCAAAAGTAATTTTATCATATCTCTATCTGACTTACACTAGATACAATGCTTTCAAAGGGTGAGTCAATATATAATGCAATATGGTAAAAAAATAACAAATGTGCAAATATTTTACAATTTGCAGTTTTAACCCTTCGGAAATGTTTCATCCCGTAATATACACAGTTTCAGACGTTTAATCAAATTTCAGCATATTCCTCCGAAAGTATACATTTCAATAACGGTCAAAAAAAGTCCGTTTCTACTCTTGAAACGATGTGGGAATGTTTGTTTGTTGTGTGTGTCTTTGTTGTTGTTGTTTTTATTTATTTTATTTTTTTTAGTTTTTGTCAGGGCAGGGTGCCAAGTCTTGATAATGCATTGGATATTTAAGGACAGTCACTCGTTTTTCTCGAAAGAGTCAATTACAGTAGCTCCATTTTGTGCAGGAGCATTTTATACAAAAAAAATCAGGCCTTTTATACCTGTCGGAGGACATACTTTATTGAATTGTTTGGATGTGACAGAACGTCCTCTGGAAACAGGCACATGGCCAACAGTTACAAATATCGTGCATCACGTCTTAACACTTGTCTTTCGCTTGGCAATGTATTGTCGACGAATGGTGTTTGTAGTTTTTGATATTGAACACACCCTATTTCGCCAGGTTCCAATAAAATGAAGTAGGAATTTCAAAATAGAAAACTCATTAATGTTTTTCGAAATGTTAGAAAATAAGAAAAAATTGCTTACATAATTATGGTCATAGGATTAACTTTCCCATGTATCTTCGTAAACACAAATGATATACCATATTCCAACTCAAAAATTTTTAACCTTAGATATATAAATATATCTCATTTGTAATAGCTATTTTATAAACGATGAGCAACATGTCCACAGTTCGTTGAATCTAAATATCGGTACCATAAAATTTGTGCTGAAATAAAAGCAAATGTTATGTTACAGAAAATTAAGTATTTTTGAAATGCTTAGTTACGTAACTGTTTTATATATGAAACAAAACATTTTATAATTGACACGTCACTTACAAAGAATTTATGATAAAAGCTTTGTCATAGGAACTCGTATGTCAAGTACAGGCAGTATAAGTTTTTATCGAGAGAGAGAATATGCATTAAGATGTCATCATTTCCTTCCAATCCCATGTTTATCACTTTAGAGTAGTTTCCTCTAGCTCTAATTGTTTTCTGGAAGGCTTTGTGAATTTCTGGAATGATTTAAGGGTTGTTACTCGATGTAAGCTACAAAAATGAAAACATATAAGAAATGTGTTCTTTGTTTACATTCACTTTCTTTATTTTCTTTAATGACAACTTGTCAAGTTATCTTTCCTTGAATTCATGACACACATAAATTTAACATTAGCTTATCTGTTTAACTTGATATAAGAAAAATCTTTTTAGCTAATTTATGTTAAATGTTAAATTCCAATCATTAGATCTTTTCAGAGTGTCAATAATTCCTCATCTTTAGAATTCGTTTAGGAAATATTATAACTCTCGCGTCAGATGAGCTTCAAAAATGTAGTGTTTCTTAGGTATACATCAAAGCAATTCAAACTTGTTGATAATATTTGCATTTTGAATAAATGATTTGATCATACAGGAATCATGCAATTCTTTAATTAACATATCTCATAACAAACAATTTTGATTGCCTCTTAAATGGCCGCCGCCACGAGAAAAGGGGCACTCGGGCAATTTTTGACGATTTTTATTTTTTATTATAATCTTGTAGAAATTTTATTTGTCTGTGTTAATCTTTTTATTTTATGTCGATATTCGAATTTTTAAGTAAGATACAGCGCTTTAACTAAACACACCTTAACTAAATATTTGCGACATCATCATCAAATTTGCGTGACGTCAAACGTAATTCCAACGAGTCTTAGTAATAAATAGTGACAACGGGCTACAGTTAAAGAGAAAAATGTGTGTTTTAAACAAACACTATTTTATTGTTTGTTATAATGCACGCTGAAACAAAACAATCAACTGTTCCTTTTTCAGTTCAGATTAACTTAATTCTAATATCACAACGTTCATTCCTCAGCAAGTCGAGGACAAGTCTCATCTTGGTACGCATGACGCACGTATTTCCTAACGTGCCGGTAAAGGTATTCTCGTCGTTGACGACTTAAACCAGCTGGCTGGATAGAATCGGGAAATGATCCTTCTGGCAGAACAATGTTTCTCCTCATCAATGGAACGCGGATTTCGTCTCTATTTGACCTTTCTTTGACAAATATCGCAGTTTTGTCTCCGGCTGTAAATCTGAAGCTGTGGTACTATTGAATTCCTTTCAGCTGCAGAAAATATCTCGTCAGATACGATTTCCAGTCATACCTATTATAAAAAATAAACGACTAAAATGATTTATTAGGAAATAAAATATGTAGCGCGACTCAGCACTACAATAATCATTTAGCTTAATACGTCCAGCCTGATCATTAAGCCTACTCAAATTGAAGATTATATGCGACATTGTTAAAAGTAAAACCAAATAAGAAATTCAACGTTCAAATATCAGTATTTAATGCAAAACTGTGCTCTATTTTATCTTTTCAATATTTTACCAAATTTCTATTACTTTAAACGCATACTTTAATATCGTGAATAGCAGGAATCATCATTACGTCAGTAAATCTTATCGATGTATTATATGGCCTTAATTAAAGTGCGTAACTTACAAATACACCGATTCTCATATTAGGAGACAGATTTAAGAATAGAGTTAATAAAAGTTTTGTCAATATAAAAAGGACAATTTAACAAGTCCATGATTGATCGCCATTTGCATTTCGGTACAGGACAGCGAAATTGTTTTTCGCCGATTTCTCCACGATGTCCGCAAACTGGCTCAAACTCTCACAATCCGATCTTTTAAATAACTTCTTAATCCGCCCGAACCCTCCATCAACAAGACATCTAAAATAAATGTACAGTATATAATTTTATATTTTCTCCGTATAATAAAATAAGTAAAATAGGAGTTATTCTCTACTTTTATATTCATTTCTCCGTATAATGGCAATACATATGTAGTTGTGTAGTGAACATTGTGAAAATTCGTTTTTACTTTTTTTATAAAATGCACCAAGTTAGCCAGTTTCAAGCAAAAATCAATTTCTTGCTTGAAAATTCATGTATGTGGCATAGGATCGTACACTTCATTACATATGCAAATACTTTACTTTTGATATAATCATTATCATCTTCAATACGAAAAATAATAGTTTCAAGTTTGTATCTCAATACTTGAGAAAATGTATTTTAACTAAATTTCGACTCTGTTTTTCATGTGTATCAATTAAAGTATTCATACTTGTCCTTTATTCGAAGTTCATATTTTGATAAAACTAATCCTTTATGAGCGTGAATAAATGTTTTTAATAAGATATCATCTCATGAATTTTTCTGCAATGGAATGAAGGGACGCTTTACCATTAATTTAATTAAGTAAAAAACATGAAACTTACTTTGTATGTCCAGGGATAGCCATAAGTAATGTTATATTTTCATGCAATCCCATATTTATTCTCCAACTCAGGTATGCCAGCGTGAATCTATTTTTGTTTTGAGCTGTAAATAGAAATATAAAAAAGCTTTTTTTTAAGATCAGGTTTTATTAATACATACAGATAAATACAGAATCCCTAAAGAAAGCCCAACACGGCAAAATTGAAAATGTTGCAGGCTCGGTTTGATTGAGCCTGTTCATGGACGGTACTGGAAAGTGCAAGTTACCGTCCACGCCCCCTAGCACCGGCTTAAGCAGAATTCAACATCCAAACGTGAAATAGTAAAAATTTTGAATTTAGAAACATCCGCAGAGGTGTTCATACGGCGGTTATCATGGAACCTTCAATGTGACACTTCTGTGCCATTCCATGAAAAGCGGCGTATGGTCCCCAAGTAATAAAAAGCGTGTGCCCTAAACGAGAAAACAATGGGCAGAACGAAATAAAATGGAATTTTGAAAGGGGATCAGAGGTTATGAAGCCTGCGTATCACAGATAAGACGTCAAAAGACAAATTTAAAAAGCAGGCAACATATCCTAAGGGTGATTCAACATTATTCAAGTAGGAATATTGGAACCACCCAAGTAGAAAATGCCGAAAAGTTGAAACTAAAAATACCACAAGCACAACAACAATGTCGTGCTGAACGATCTTCAAGGATCGAAAATATAACATCATTGATTAAATGTACGGGAAGACTTTTTACAGCCGCCACACGGCACAAATAACACGGATGTGATCATAAAATAGATAAATACAGAATCCCTAAAGAAAGCCCAACACGGCAAAATTGAAAATGTTGCAGGCTCGGTTTGATTGAGCCTGTTCATGGACGGTACTGGAAAGTGCAAGTTACCGTCCACGCCCCCTAGCACCGGCTTAAGCAGAATTCAACATCATGGTTTAAATTTCAATGAAAAAAAAATGAAATTCGTACATGAAAAAATATGGATTAAACTAATCCTGGATTAGATGAATGTGCTATCAAACATAACGATTTTATTTATCAAATTTAATTTTATCAGCATTTATTTCCTTCTTTATTCTCTTTCATCACTTCATCTATCATTCATACTGTAGCAATTTGATAGTTCATTTGTGGTATTTGATTATATTTTATCATGACATAAGCTACAAATAAAGTATACATACAATAGATTAGTGATTTATTTTAAAAAGTAAGATTCATAATAAGAAGCGATCGAATGTAACTATTATAGCAACGTACTTTGTTTAAATCTGCGGATACTGGAGTTACTGGTCTGTCATGTCGTCTGTGAGTTGACATTTCTTCTCTTGCCTGGACAACTGCTGTCTGATATACTTCTCGTTCAGCCTTTGCATCCTGTAAATATAGTGCATAAACATTAATCAAATTTTGTGACGTATGTTTTATATTTTTTTCTTTCAACATCAAGAAACATCAATTATAAAAGCAACGGATGTTGTCATTCATTATGAAGTTCATCGTTTAGCAACTTAAAAAAATAAATCAATTAATTTACCTGCACGTGTTCACGGAGATGATTTGCTGCATCTAATTTTGCGTCCTCTGTCACAGCATCTACAACCTTGTGGCGTAAAAGTTCACACTTATGACAAACATCATCTTTTGGAGTCATTATTCTTATGTGCGGCACAACATTACTCCATACGTTCTTAAACGATGACAATCCAATCTTTCTAACCTGAGACTCTATACAGGCTTGAGAATATAATGTGTGCAGACTACATTTTGTGACATTAGATGGCAGCAATATAGGAGCTTCTCCGTCATGTCCTCTCGGAGCTGCAGGCATGGGTAAACCATGTATGTCGGCATACCATATCAACCAGTCAACACAAAACCTGATCTCATTGTATCCAAGAGCATGATGCGGTCTTCGTCCGGTGTTGCCATGGGTACGTGGTACTGCCCCATTCATACTAAAATGGTCAACGATGTTCCTCAACGATTTCTTTCCTATATCGTTTATATATAAAAACACGTCCTTGCACACCTTTTTCCCTGAAACACGTACCTAAATCTTGTCCTTTTTCTATGTTTACCTTTCAAAGTTTCATCAGCACTTACTTGTTGAAGGCTTCCCATAATGAACATTTCCTTCTCACCCCTGTCCATTTCTCTAAGTGACAATATATGGTTATTAATTGTGTCTTCTTCAAAGCTACCCATGCAGTTAGATTTGCATTTACACAGTTTTAAATTCTCACAGTTAGTCTTAGATGTATCGTTATCATTGGTGTTATTGTCGTCAAGCTCTGACCCTGATTGTTCAGAGTGTGTGTTGCTCATATAGTCATGGACTCTTGACGAAATACTATTTTCTACATTTTCTAACGCATTTTCTAAATCTTCTTCTTCTTCTTCTTCACTGTCCCACTCCTGACTAAGATTTTCGATCGCCTCATGATCATCGCTTTGTGACATAATTTCTGAAGCAACGCCAAATTCCTGAAACAACCCATCCAGCTCCTGAAAATAAAAAAAAAATATAAGCAATAAAAAAAAATACTTCCCGGCCGAGGATTGAACCCTGACCGCGAGCATGCTACGCAAGGAGCTTAACCCCACGGCCACCACATCAACATTCAAAACATGGTGTAAATTTTCTAGTGTATCTTGAACTCACCCAAAAAAATCGATAACAAGGGAGACTACCTAGTTGCTTAGCAGTATGACAACAAACAACTGTCAATAACATAATTTTCAAAGATCGATCAATAAAGGCTTCTAGGAGCATAAAAAAATAACTGAAGTTTATATCCGTACAAATCAATTGATTTGTTTGTTTTAAATACATTGATTTTTTGTTTTAAATACAATCTTTTATGATGTTAAAAAAAATTTCTCTGCGCACGGCAGACGAGTAGTTTAAAAGCAAGTTTTCTTCATAATATCAATTTATTTCTAACAATAACTGCATGTAATATATATTTCCTCAAATTCATCCATTTCTGATGGAAATATACCCTCTAGGTATAAAAATCACGACTTAAATCACCATTTAGCAACCTGTTGTAATGTTTACGGAAATAACGAAGCGGTCGTACTATTCCCGGACTTTTTCACGGTGCGTCAAAATTGCCCGAGTGCCCCTTTTCTCATGGCGGCGGTCAAATGTATTTTTATGACTTCCATTTCTTTTTATCTATGAATTATGATCATACATTTTAATACTAGATTTTGGATACTAGCAAAATTTGAGACTGTTTTTCAAATTTATTAATCGGATGCAATATGCTTTACATTTCGGGAATTTCCAAGTAAATGATGCAAATTAATGCAACGTCAGAGGTATAAAGACCTTAGGTGCCCTTCCTTGTATTATTCAAGGCACGAACGGGAACCTGAATAGAACCGCCGACGTCCAGTAACATTGCCGGATAGTTTCCTCACATGAATGAATTCAAAGTTCCTGTCGGGATTCGGGGGGATCAAACATACAGCGATGAGAGGCAAGTGGTCTGAAGTAAACTAAATATTACTGGATAGAAACCCTTCATTTCAATTTCTAGTACTGTACAATGTAAGCACAATAATACATTTTTCCAAAGTTGCGCTGATTTCAAAGTTTGTATGTTAAACTATAAGGGGGATGGAATATCACAATTTATTTCTTTATTTCATATAAGAGAGTGCTTGTGTACAATACGTACACATAAATGCGTTTAGTGATTGTCACAAAAAAATAGTATTTAACAAAACATCTATGAGAAGACTACTTTCATCAGCATGTTAAAAATAAAATTCCATGGTATCACCTTTCTAAAGCATTTAAATATGATGGTTGTATATCACATATATCAGTTTGTGGATGTATGCAAAGTATTTTAATGCCTCAGTCTATATAAAATGCTTGAAATATAAGATTAAATATCTTAATACTATAATGAAAATTGATGTTCAATAACAAGATTAAAAATCGTAAATATTAAGTGAAATACCGCAAAATTGTGCTGTTTCAAGAGATATATTATGGGGTAAACATATAGGAGTGATTAAAAGGATCTGTAGACGCATTTCTAACATAACATTTTATTTCTCTGTGAAAGCGGTTGTTAGACAGAAAACGATTTACTGCATTTACATTTTATCCAACAGACCGAAAGGCTGTCACATTTTCAAATCAAATTAATATCCAGTGGTAAATTAAAGTCACATGATGTATATATAAAATACATTAAGACACACAGAGATTCATTCTTATGTCTTTGTTCAATAATTTCACCATACTAAAATGCTATTAAATAAAACAGTTTTCAAATTTTACTGCCTCATAACTTGCAAGATATATCTTACTTGTAATATCATCGTACGTTTTTAGTAAAACAATATTGAAATAAA